TTATTTGTGGAGTTGCAAGATTTGCACCCACGGGATGTTGTTATTCCCAATTTACCAAGACTAAAGGCGAGCTGAAGTTCCATCCCTCTTTTGAAGTTTGTTGTACCCCGAGGAGTGTTTGACATGATTTGTCCTTCCTCGACATGATGTCCACGACATAGGTGTTCCGCTTTGTGATTGCATATTTTGCGTTTCGCGTCTCACTTTTGTCGTGCAGGGGAGTATTGGAGATACGCAAGATGTGTATCTTGCGGACCAAGTAATATGGATCGTTAAAGTCCATTATGGAGTGAAGCCCAAATCGAAGAATATTATAGATCTCTATATTACCTCTTGTACAAGCTATATACTTATGTGTTTAGGAAAGTTTACATTATATGGGTGTTAGCATTATGTTAATGTTGACATTATATATATGTATTTTGTATTTTCATATTTGATACAACTCAATAATATATTCTATTCCATAATATTTGACAATTATTGAATAAACAAATTAATGAATTGATATCTAAAACGTTAAGAGAAAGAAGTTTTGAAAACACAAATTAAGTCAAAAACGTTATGATGAATAAACAAATTAATCATCATATATCTTTGAAAACAAAAGTGAAGAGAAACAAGTTTTAAAGAAATTGTTTGAGTTCTAGTCTAAAGGTTTCTGTTGTACGTAATTATAAATGGTATTCCACAAACATTTTGATGTTTTTTTTTTAATTTGTAAAAATCATTTTATTAATATATATAAGTTATCTACTTATGACCACCAATAGTATTAATATTAATATTTAAAATAAACTAAAAAGAGTTTTATCATAAAAATATACATAAATGTCTCTATGGGGGTGATTGGTAAAGACTTTGGAGGATCCATCGTTTCCCGAAAAGCAAGATGAATAACAAAGGCGATTGAAACGAAAAATGTCCAACACATAAGTGCTCCCCCAACGTAAAAACAGTTTAAAGCCTTGGTGGGATTATATGGTGCCAAGCAGGTGGTGTAGATGAACATATATAACAAGCTATGACAAAAATGCACAAGCCGCCGATCCAATTTCCTTAAGACAAGTTCATACCCACAATACCAAAAGCAAGGCAACATCAGCCAGTCCCTCACAAAGCTAAGCGGGTCTTTAAAAAACTGATCACTTGTAAGGCCAAAAAGCTGAGAAATCAAAAAAGTATATGCGGTGATGATCAAGAAGTGCATCAATATCGAGTAGACAATTCCCGAGGTCATCCTGCCATTTAGCCAAAGATTGAGACATGGGTTAATTAAAACCAAGCTCGCTTCTAAACATGTAGTCCAATTTGATGTGCTTAGTAGAATACACTCACTTGCTTGGCACCATATAATCCCACCAAGGCTTTAAACTGTTTTTACGTTGGCGGAGCACTTATGTGTTGGACATTAATCTTTTATGCTAAATTAATCTTTTATGCTGTGATCGCTTGGATTTGATAACAAAGAATATTACTGAAGAGCATATATATATGACTACTAGCTAGTTGTTATTTGTTAATAAGCAGAAATTGATTAACTTATTATTTTATTAATGTTTGATTTAATAGTCCACTATAGTTAGAAGTAATTACAAATGTCTTAACTTTTTCTGTAATCAAATATCTTAAAATATATATTTTTAATAACAATGATAAGTTTGAGAAATTTTTCTTTAATCAAAGAAAAATACTTGAAACAATGTTAAGAACTTCTGAAAGATTTAATTTAATATTTTAAATATCACAAATAAATATTTTTAATGGTTTATACTTTCTTTTTTGTTCAAACATCTATTGTATACAAATATATTTAAGATATTTAATAAATGATTTTGAAAAGATATTTTTTACCATATAAATATATTTTGTTATTATCCTCTATAATGTAAAGGATAAGTTTTTGTGCTGATGTGGCAAGCCCACAATTATTTGCAACATTTTTTTTTAATTCTAATATTTTAAATACCAAAACACTTTTATAATTGAGATTTTTGCCAAATGTACCACATTTTTCAAATTTCTTAGCATCTCTACCACAATGGAGAATGATTTAGCACTTGTACCACATTCATGTGGTATTGTGGTATGAAAAAGAGGGGTTTGCCCTCGGCTGATGTGGCAGATAAAGTGCAACATTTAGGGACAAATATCTGGGGGGACAAAAAACCTATTCGGTGACAATAATCAAAAGAAATATAAACATCAAACAAAATAAAAAAACCGCAATTAGAGTTTACATACTAATATCCAAGAATAATGAATTAAAATTGAGGGACAAAAACCAGCAAACATGCAAAAATAAGATGAAATTGTGGAAGACTCAAACTTCGGGGACAACTGTATGTAAACTTCTTTTTGTGTGCTTAAACTATGAATTTTGTCCCCGAAATTTGAGCAAACAAAAGGAAAGGCAAAATGGTCATTACACACTTCAATTGTGGTATGAGTGATAAATAAGCCTGCAATGTGATAGAATGAAAAAGAATGAGGGCAAATGTGGTATAAAAGTTAATTTTCTCTTTATAATTAGTTACAAAACATTACATTAAAAAAACTTTTTTTTTTGACAGCTAAAAAAAAATCTATTATATGCATAAACTTATGAATGACCTAAATAATATTTTATTTCGATTTAGAAAGGACCGCAGACGGCTGCTCCATCCAATCTACATGATCATTTGAAGCAACTATACAATTTAGATAGATAAACAAAAAAAATTTACAATCTTTCACATGTTGAATATCTAACAAATCATAAATCAAATTTGGGACAGCAAGTATCCTCGGCCATCCTCCTGACAAAATACATAGGATGGTAATAGGATCGTTTCCAAGTTTGCCTAGTCTCCAAGTGATTCATCGGAATCTGACACATAATCATCGTCATCATCTCCATCTTTTAGAACAGCAACCCATTCCTGGAGTCAAGATCACAGATTTGAAACATAACAGAGGTATTTTTCCATTTGAAGTTCCTAAATAATTGAGCACGAAAGGTGAAATAAATGTTTCATACCTTGTCATCTTCGTATTCTCCTTCATCCTCATCCCCTGGTTTTCATCCTCTACTTCACTTTCACCATCTGCGATTTCTTCAATCCCGAAACCAATACAAGATGGGCTGCTCAGCTTTATATACTTGATCATCTCCATCGTATCAAAAACCTACTATTACTTAGCTACATGGCATATGTATACTATTAATAGAGAGACAACAATAGCGCAAGCTGTAAAGACTACATTGTTCAGCAGAGTCACTTAAAATATTGTAAAACAATATAGACATGCATCAAAAGGATATAAACCAGTGGCACAAACCTCATCTTGCAATGCTTTTCAAGCATGCGAAACTCCACCAGAACTTAGTACCATCGTCATTAATACTATCCAGACCCTAACTAGAGTCTTTTCTTCTTCTTTATGACTCCCTGATACTTGAAATTATCCACTTGACTAACCTGCAAGTGATTTCCCTGAGTAGACACTTATGTGATCTTCTCCTGATGTAGACAATTAACTCAAACTTCTTGGTCATTGTCTTCCAAATGCAGTTTGAATTTTTTTATGCATTTATCTCTTTATTAGGACTTCTTTTCAGCTTCCAACACCAGCTTTGAGATATTGTGTTGATATGCAATCATAGCTTACACTCCACTCTTAACACAGTCACAGAAATAAATATACAATGTAAAACCACATAAACATAAAATAGATCTTAAAATACTTCTTTAGTAGTGCAATATTTAATAAAAGGTGTCATATCATGCAAGATAAGGGATACATTAAATAACCAATCAGAGTTCAAACATATCCATAATTGTTCTATAGAAAAACAATGGATTATTACATTTGACCGCAAATTCAAAATGAATATGAGAAAATGAGCTATACAGATTATAGAAAAACAATAACGGAACAAGCAAAAAATACCAATAATATAGAAAGTTATACCTCGGGACCATTGAATACGGAAGGCTCATTCATGTCATTCCAGGTATACAATGGAGTTGACCCAACATAGTTCTTATATGAGAACCTACCACCCCACCATTTTCTAATCTGTGGGCTCAACATATCAATGTAAGATGATGAACCAGGCCAGCACCAACCATCAAAGTCTTTTCCAGATGAATCCTTAGCATAGTATCCCATCCGAGTAGCCTCCTTGTGTAAGAAGTATGAGTCATCCCTCTTGATATGAGGATCCACAATGGTCACCATCTTCCTACCCTTTTCCTGCCAAATTCTTTTGCATCTCCTCTGGAGGAGGAAACAACACACTATCCCATGTAACGTATCTCTTCCCATCTGTATGTTCGATATCAAGCCAGAGAACATCATATGGTATATCATGCTCATCGAATTTCGAGTGAGAAGAAGTCCAAGAACCTTTCTCTATTTCCAGCAGCCTTGTCATCTCCACTTGGAACATTCTTCGTGATCTAATATGGCAACAACTTATGCTGATACCTCATCAGACCACACCGCAATCCCATACATCACAAAATCTTGTTTCTCCATCATATACCTCTTTGTCGCTTGAAGATCTGATTAGGAAACTAGATAACCACTGAGAATCCATTGCTCCACCTGAGATACGAACTCCTTGCTCTCTTAAATTCATTCCAAGAGAATCACCATGTGTTATATAAAAAACACAAACCTGCACAAAACATGAATCTTTGTAGCTGCCATCCATTCAAAAGTTTATGTTCTTGAATAAGAACCTAAACACTCTTCATCTCACACTTATGCTAACACCAGAAGTGCGTTCCACCCACAAGTGAATACTGCCTCACAGACCCAACAACCTCGTTTGTAACCTGTTGACATAACCCGGTAGACGCTTTTACTAACAATCCACGAATCTGTCCACTCTCAGATTCACTAAAATCTAACCTTTGACACTGAGACAAACCACACATCAAATCAACCTTAAATTATAAAAGATAGAAAAAGTTGGCTGATAAATAAAGAAAAAAAATGGGTACACTATCAATGCTAAATTGATGATACAGGATATATTACAAAACCATATACAATTAGTTTGTATACAAAAATGTTTTATATACAACCCATTTGTGTTGAACAAAAAAAAAAAAAATTGAAAGGTGACGACAAACATTTTTGTTTCAATTATGTTTTGTGATCGATGATCAAAATCATCCATTGGAAATTATCCTTGGGGAAAACGACTAAAGTTGAGCATACTCGGAGATATCTTCAAAAGATCTAATACCTTGCTCACCAAATTCAAACACCTGAAAGTCTTTATGTCTATAAGATCCATAAAGACACTCGAAAATTATAGAGTTGGGTCTAAAACCCGGAATTTGAGTAGGCAGGCAAGAGAAAGAGCAATGGCAGTCCAAGAACAAGACGTGACCACCCACATCTTCCACTTGAATCCAATCGTTTCTCTTCTCGTCTAACTCCGAAATCTCGAACCATCCCTTTTCCGCTAGGAGTTTTGGTGTGAGATACTCCTTTTGGCTTTCGGTGCAGATCTCTACTAGTAGGAGTTTCTCCTCCAACTTGGCAAGCTGGATATAGACAATATTATAAAGAGAGAATTTTAAAAGGTGTTTATGATTGAGGGGTTAAAATGTACAAGCTAGGGACTTAAAATCTTATCTTAGACTAATCACAACTTATTTGGTTGACTAAAAAAAGTGTGAATATTTTTATTTTTCGCCGTAGGAAGAAAGTTGTAACTTGTAACTAGATGAAAAAAAATCTTAGTATTTTAAAAAAAAGTTTTGTTCGCCTTACCCAACGTTTCCTTGTCTTATCACAAGGCCTCGACCGATGAAACGAGTTCACTTCTAGAGATGGCTTTACCACTATCATTACTCCGGTAGAATCGATGGCATAAAATAGTCCGTTATACGACGCTACTGCTTCTAGAAAACGATCAGGTTCTATCTCGATCTCGGTCCAACACTTATCAAATGACCTATACATGCCAAGTCCCTGGATTGAGAGTCTTCGCAAAATTATAAATTCCTTGTTCTCTGCATCTAACTGCATAAAACCAATACTTTTTCCTTCTTTATTCGCAAAATCATCATCGAAAAGGTCGCACCAAGAGGTGTAACAAGCAACATGTTCTTGAGCTAGCTCAATGACTTGAGAGTTGAGCAAGTCAAGTGACAAACTTGGATATGAACATCCCCACACAGAGAAGGTTCTTCTACTGAACAAAATGTGCAGAGCAAGTCCATTCTCCTCTTCTAGTAGCTTAAACAACCTGCAAGGAACAATGCAAATTATTTTCATTAAATTTGAATTACCTTATTTAATTTTTAGGAACCATACGGATAACGGTTAAATATCCGCGTTTTGGCGAATATCTGGAGACCAAATTTCCGGTTAGCTTCAAAACATTATATTTGAAAAAGTGTTGGTCCGGAGAGAACGGAAATTGAGCTTTCATTTAAAAACGAGGGGATTAACCCGTATTTCTAATTAATATATTACTTTAGGTTGCAATTTATGATTCATGTGAAATTTTTAACACATTCATTAAGATTCAAGAATCATTTCAAAATGAAAACGAAAGACCAATTATTATGGTAACTTTTGGATCAAAACTGTTTAAAGTGGATTGATAATTGATTACCAAAATTGGAAAGGTACGCTAGAAAGAGACTTGATCAGATAAACACGACTCCTTGAAATATAACAATCATCTCCACCGGCATCTGGTGGAACAGGACATCTAAGTGATGGAACTGGTCGGAATGTGAGAAGGCTCGAGGATCGCCATGAGGAACATACCGATCGGTAATGGATCAGATCGAAGGGGTTGTCAATTCTCACTGATATCATGTGGATGATCTCTAGTGGCAACTCCGACCAGTTGCCCATTTCTTCTTCTTCTCTTGACTTGGAAATAGCAATTCAATTAGATCTGAGAATAAGAAGATGGAGCGTTATTCTCTATTGTTTTGTTTTCTTGGGTTGAGGAAATGCGTTGACTTTCTTAATTGCCGTGCAAACCAAGCTGTATATAGGGTAATTTTTTTTTTTTTTTTTTTTTTTTTAGCGTAAATTATTAACAAGTTGAACTTATTATTCTCGTTCCGAATCATATATAAAATATAACAGAACAAAACACTAATCCATCACTAATCCCTCTTTGGCTAATTTTGTTTTTTCAAATATCTCACTAGACAAATAAATCTTCAACTTTGGGTTCACTTGACTGAATTAGGTTAGTCAGATTTAACATTTTGTGACAGAGTTTTTGGTTTTAATTAACGTTATGTCTAATTTGGAAAAGTCAACCAAAGATTAAGGATTTATAATTAGATCAAGTAATTTTTCTATAAAAAAAAAACTAAAACAATTCTCTTTGTCTGGACTACCGAGTATATATGTAGGTGTGAAGTGTGAACTCACTTTATTCTATATCAGTAGCATTGTTATAGTCTAGTTTTACAAAAGGAAAGGTGAAGAAAAAAATCTTCTTTTTTTTTTTTTGTATGTAAAATTGTATTCACCAAAAAAAGACTGTTTTACAAATAATGCATCATTTAGTTCAAAGAGATGAAACAGTTCATATAACTTTTAAAAAACCTGAGAAGGAGATTAGTGGCTGTGGGTGTGGAACCAGTAGCGCAAACCACCTTCGTATACCGGCGAGCCCGACTGAGCCAAAGTACTCAACCGGTTTCTAGCGTTCTTGTCGATCAAGCGAGTTAGTTTGGATGCTGGCGTCGGAGTATCTCCATGTCTACGTCCATTCCTTTCTCGCCAAATGCTATAGACTGTAAGCTGAAACACGTATCTCAACACAAATAAGTGAAGCCGTGGAGTTGATGGAGCGTTGAGTAATGGTAGGAGAGATTCCCATCTTGCCGTGAAGTTGCTGCCTAGCATGTCACGAGCGAGAGCTGACCAAACTTGGGAGGAGTAGTGACATGAGAAGAAAAGGTGATCCCTTGTCTCTACTCCTTGCCCACATAAAGCACAACTTCCGTTTGAACTTGCATTCCATTTGATTAATCTGTCTCCCGTGGCTAAGCGGTTGTTGATTGCAATCCAAGTGATAAAAGCATGCTTGGGAGTGGAGTTAGGGAACCATACTCCTTTATACCAAGAACACTTTGGCTTGACTTGCCGGATCAAATGCCAAGTATCTTTTGAGTAGAACTTGCTCTTGAAAGCATCATTTTTCTTCCTCCAAAGGGGAATGTCATTACCCGTTACATTCGTGCGAAGTCGCAGCGATTCAAGTTCATCTTCAATCTTATTCAAAATCTCTACTCGGTGCCGTCTACGGCTGTGAGTTATGAGAGCATCGGAAACAGAGCAATGAGATGTAATCCCCATGTCAATACTTCCACGTTGGCCTAGAGAATCAAATAATCTCCCAAGTGAACACCATGAGTCATACCAAAATGAAGAAAAAAATCTTCGTTACATAGAATAAACTGATCAAGATATATATGATCATCTGTTGGAGATTACCCAACCAGGGGGAGATGGAAACAGCTCTATATACTCCTGTTTATCTATTAAAGTTCTTATTCCTTGCTCATCAAATTCATATACGAGAATGCTTTCATGTTCATACGAGTTAGATCCTCCCCACAAGTCCATGAAGATTATAGAGTTAGCCCTAAACCCCGGAATCTCAGTAGCCAAGCATGAGAAACTGCAATAATGCTCCAAGAACAACACGCGACCATCCATATCTTCCACTTGATCCCAATCGTTTCTTTCCTCGTTTAACTCTGATATTTCGAACCATATCTTTTTCTCACGGATGTTTGGTATGTGAAAATCGTATCGGCTCTTTGTGCACATCTCTACGAGTATGAGTTTGTCCCCTGACATTACAAGCTGTTGGAGACAACGAATGAAATAAAAACACTTTTAAGTTTTAGTTTTGTTCCAATTAGTTGCATGAAACACAAGATATAAAAATGTTAGTCTCCTTACCCAACGTTTCCTTGTCTTATCACAAGGCCTTGACCGCTGAAATGTATTCACTTCTAGAGTTGGCTCTACCACTGTTGTTTTTCCAGTGCGATCTATTGCGTAAAACTTACCTTTAAATGGAACTATCCCTTCAAAAAATGAATCATAGATTATCCCAAGCTCAGTCCAACGCTTATCGACTGACCTAAACATTGCGAGACCATTGAATGAGAGCTTCCCTAGAATCATATATTCGTTGTTCTCTGTGCTTAAACCCATAAAGCCGATACGTTCTTCACATTTTGAAATGCATTCGAATAATTCAGACCATTCGCTGTAACATGCCACATGTTCTTTCGCTAGCTCAAAGATTTGACAATTAAGCAAATCAAGTGACAGACTTGGATACAAGCATCCATACGCAGAGGAGTGTCTTCTTAAGAACAAACTATGTAGAACAACTTCTCCATTCTCTTTTGCTTGTAGCTTAAACAACCTGGCAGGGATCATATTCTCATTTAAGTATCATCAAGATTCAAGAATCAATTCAAGAAACAGATTTTATTACCAATATTGGGGACGGTCGCGATTAGGAGACTTGAGAAGGTAAACACGGCTGCTCAAGATATGGCAATCATCACCACAACCGCCGGGATCAAGGGGAAGAGGACATCTAAGTGATGTCATGTGTCTGAATTTGAGGAGACTAGAAGATCGCCAAAAGGAACAAACCGACCGAAAGTGGATCAGATCAAAGGGATTGTCGATTTTTAGGGAGATCGAATGGAGAATCTCCGGTGGCAAGTCCGACCATTTTACCATTTTCTTCTCTGAACGATAGTAGACTTGATCTGAGAAGAATAACCCAAAAACTAAAACGTGTTGACTTTCTCTATTGTTCTCTTGGTTGAGGAATGCGTTGACTTTATTACTTGACGTGTACTACAAGCTGTAACAATGCCCTGCAAGTATTCTTTCAATTCAGTTTTATGAAAGAAAATTGCAAAATTGAGGAGAAAGTCGAATGAGTGAATGATTAAAGAGACCATTTTTATATATAATCATAATGAAATGCGAAGAAGAAAGCTCCTAATCAAAATTTAATGGAATAGAATAGCAATTACAACACGAAGAAGGCATAAATATAACAAGGGAGACTATTCAGAGAGGGAAAGAGAGACTTTTGCTTTTGTTTTGCTTCCAAATTGCCTATAGTTTTTTTTTCAAAATGCCAAAATAACCAACACTTGATTGATGTATTTTAAATATAAATATTCAATCTGTATGGATTAATGTTTTTTTTAATAGGGATTTTGAAAACTATAATTCACTTAGGATTTGTATTTTTGTACTGTAATTTCAGAATTTCTACATTGATCATAAACTGACAAGTCAATTTATCCTAAACTTTTAATAAGAGTATTACAATGTTTCTTAGATTGATGTGGATAATTGGGTATTGAGGGAGAAGTCAATTCTAAACATTGTTCAAGTCATTTCAGATCTAACAAACTTTTCATTTTGATTAAGTTTATGCTTCATAAATAAACATTGTTTGTTCCTTAAATACAAACATCTAAACCAAGATAAAATAGATAAACCAAGCGAGAATAGTAAACCGAGACATTGTATTGATATATAATCTGAGACAAGTTTTTATTTAAATATTCTTTCTGTTTCAAATTATAAGATGTTTACAGTAAAAACACACATATTTAGGTACTTTGTTTTTCTTTAAAAAATATGATTTGTATTTAATAAAAACAAATCTCACCAATCATAAAAAATACTACAGAATATAAGTGGTCATAAATAATCAAATGCATTTATATTTGTGAAACATCTTATAATATGAGACAAAATAAAATGTCTAAAACATCTTATATTTTAAAACAAAGGGAGTACTATTTTTTCTTGATTTTCAGCCATAAGCTCTCGAAAATCGCCGATAGAAGACCGTTACCAAGACCACGGCAAAGAGGAAACCGCCGATGATGGATAGTTTTATAGATACGTGATAAATCCTGAGAAAAATTGCGAAAACCCCAACAAAAATATAAATTATATCAAAATATGCAGTTAAAGCCACAGATTCAACACCCTTAGACGCGATGTAACATAAAACGTAAGCCAAAACTGACCCAATATAGAAATTGCTATTGAAGACGTTGAAATGTAGTAAATAGTTGATCCCCCATGCCGGCCTTTGATCAGTGTTCGTCCCAACAGCTTGGCTGAAACTAAGTACTCTGGGAATTCCCACAACCACTGAAAAAAGCAGTGCGTTGATCATAATGTGACAAGCCTCAGTTAATTTGTCCTACCGTCGTTGCATTTCCTCCTTGAACAAAAAAACGGTTAAACGGATTTAGTTATTGTTAATTAGAAATTTTCAACTTTGTAAAGGTTAACTTTAAGTTTACACTGTGGGTGGAGCAGACACTGGTAAGAGAGGCTCAATGGGTTGTAGCAGAGAAGTGTGAAATTCTACGGAGATTTTTTTTTGGTTTTGCTTCCAAATTCCCTAACGTTTTTTTCTTTTTCAAAATGAAAAATAACCAACACTTGATTGATGTATTTTAAATATATATATTCAATCTATATGGATTGATGTTTTTCTTTAATAGGGATAATCAAAACTATAATTCACCTCGGATTTGTATATTCGTACTGTAATTTCAGAATTTCTACATTAATCAAATACTGACAAGTCAATATATTCTAAAACTTTTAATAAGAATATTGCAATGTTTCATTTTTAGAGAGAAGAAAAACAAATAATTACAGATTATTAGTTTGATACATAATTTTAGCAAAGTGATCATTATCTTTTTTTTTTAACTATATATAAAATGTTCTTTATCGAAAGAAAACTAATATAAAGTGTAAAAATGAGTAAATGAGATGATAAAGAGAAAAATGATAAACAAGATAATTCTTTCGATTACTTCAATATTACAAAAGGTTATAATATTTTACACTCTTCGGAAGTACTTATTTGCTATAACGTCATTAGTATAACTTTAGGTCTATAGAGTTCTTTCATTGTGGAATAAAAGGTCAAAAAAATATTAAAAGGATTTATTGTTAACTTAGAAATTTCTCAAAGTGATATATTGTTATAGTGAAAATCAAAGTGATTTTGTGTTTATAATATCTTATTAATTAATTTTCTTAATACGAAGAAAAATTTGACAAAAAATTGAGCAAAATAATTGTAAAACATAAGCGAAACAAAAGATGATTAGGTATGTGTGTTTTATAACATATGAAAAGGACTTTTCAAACAAAAAAAATACATTTATTGACACGTTAGAATTTTGTTAGTTTATTAAAAACCATCTTTTTGTACTAATATGATATGAAGTTCTCAAGTTTCATTTGGTTTTTCATCTTCTCTTCTACAATTTTGTTAATATAACTACGATATGACCCACGCTATACCGCGAGTTAAAATATTTAATTAATTTTATAATTTTATTTTAAGTTGATGAATTTATTGTATTTATTTTGTATATTTTTGGTCCTTTTTATATGTAAAATTTTCAAAATCTAGGATTTAAGCAGAACAATATATTATTTATATATATAGTAATATTAGATTTTGGAATGTTGTTATTTAGTATTAAAGTTATATGAATTAAACTTTTGGTATTTTTACATTAACATGTATAACATATGTAATTGAATAAGTTAGTATTGCAATTACCCATTTGGACGGAGATTAAAACTTATAAAAACTTAAAATGTTGGATTTTTATAATAAATTTTATAAAGTATTAAAGTTATATGATTATACTTTTTAGTTTTTAAGATTTAACCCATAAAGCAGATGTACTTTACTAACTCAATTACACATTTAGAGATTGATCCGTGTGACATTAGTGAAATCAGAATTTAGATGTAAATTTACATTTACAGAATTTAGTAAATTGACATGTGTGACATTAGCAAAATCAGAATTTAGACTCCTGGAACATTATACATTTACAAAATATCAGAATTTGGATCTAAATTAGTGAAAACCAAAACATACATATAAACAAAATCAGAAAAGAAAAAACATTAAACATGAATTACAAAATATATAAATATATGGTATGATTTAGTAACTAATTTCCTTATCTTTAAAACATCTTACCAACGAATTATTAGAATTCAATTTTAATGCAATCAATAATGTCGTGATTTTATTTGTAGAGAATCTTACCCAAAATAACTACAAAATTTCTAAAATATAGAAAAGATCCGAATAAAATTTTATGGAAAAAAAGTAAAAATAAAAGCTGAAAACTCTCTCGGGCACTAACATCGAGGCGCTTCCCATGACCATCTATTCCGGCGCCGGTGAAGCTTATGCTTGCCGGCGTCGGGAGATCTCCTCCTCTTGCTTTTGCTGCGTTTTAATTCTATTTTGCTTTTTTTTTGTTTTTGGCCGTTTTCTCAATCTTCCCGAATCTTCAACCTTTTGTCCATTTTCCACGGTGCTTCAATCCTTAGAGACAGAGAAAGGAAGAGTCCTCTAGTGACACTCCTCCTGCTTTTCCCTCTACTCTCAACATCTATTTCAAAGTCGACAAAAGAAGATTCTTCTAGATCCAGTGGTGTATTACTTAACAAAGCTGAGTTTCGCTTCTTCGCGATGCCCGTTTACTCTAGATCTGGATCTACACCATCTCCTACAGAAGCTTATTCTCTCCGGAATTCGTCCATGGCAAGAGCTCCACCTCCCCATGCGCATCATTTGGATCCTCCATGGCTTAGTTCCGAGCTATCGGTTTGCTTCTGGTGGCTGGAGGCCCTTGGACCGTCGGTGCCTGCGTTTTCTCCGGTAAAAACAGTGACGGCACATGGCAAAACCCTAATTTTGCTGGAGGTTCCTTTTAATGGACTCGGCCCACATAATCAACAACAACAGCAGGGCCCAACGTTTACTCTATTATTGTCCATCTTGAAGAGTTGCGGTCCAACAATAAGAGTCTTGAAGCCCACCTACAAGGTTATTAGCAAAGCCCATCTTCCTTTTGTCCACAACCTAAATGGCGGCCCAACTCCTTTAACTGCTCAACCCAGGCCCAACTGTCTTATTCTTGTGGCCAAGAAAATTATAAAGCAACGTCCATTTCCATATTTGCACAGGTTTGATCTAAACTCTCTTTTGTCCTTTCTTAGCCACACTTTGTGTCGTTTTATGGATACAATTGATCGAGGACGTCATTTGGAACATAATTCACCATTGTTTCTAGTTTGGTACAAAGATTTTTTGGGAACTCTGCCCTTAAAATCACCTAGGGATATTTTCCATGAATTCAAGAGATTGAAGAAGAACGGCATTATGGCCCCGTCTCCAAGGAGCGGTGGTTACCGAAGCTTCTTCAATCCGTTTTCCCCATTTCCTCTGAATACTGATTTCAAACAAGTGCATTTAATCAACAGTAAGGTTATTATTCATGAAATTGAAAGCTTGAGGAAGAACGGCATTATGATCCCGTATCCAAGGAACGGTGGTTACCGAAGCTTTCTCAACTTTTTATCTCCAAGTCCATCCGACCATAGAACCGTCAACACTCATCTCCTTGCCGATGAGCAATTCCAGCTCGCCCTTCTCGCGCCGACGAGAACCTCGGACATGGAACCCTCTTCAACGTCACCTCGTCTTTTGACAGTGACCAACTTGTCATCCATCGATTCGTTCGTGGAAGATCATTAAACTAGCCGTGACCTCACATGTGCCAAAATGCTTTATCGCTTTTGTCTCAAAGCTCTCATGGAACCTATGTCGTTTCACCTTATCCATCTTTTTATGGCATTGGGGAATGTCTCTTTTATTAATGTTTTAAACTTTGTGATCTTTGAATCACCCCTTCTTGTACTTGGCTTGATTTGAATGAATGAAAACAAGTGTTTCTCCTAAAAAAAAAAAAAAAGAAAAGATCCGAATCAAAGATTTCTGGATCAGAATCAAAAATCTGACCCGATTACCTTGAGCAAATATGTACATCAAAAATGTTAAGTAGATGCATCAAGTTAAAATTAAAACACTTTATGTTTAAGAAAAAAAAAGAAACACAAGACCTAAAACTTTCTACTATTTATGGAACAAGGAAAACTTTTTGAAATTAGAGTTTTGGAAGAAACATTTCTAAATCATAGATCAAAACTGAGAACTTTCGTTCTTATACCTAATTAATAACGTAGTTAATGTCTGTATTCATACTTTTACCATTTCCTCCATCATCGGATCACTCTTCAGACTGATACCACCATGGATTTTTGTTTCGTTGGTAATAATGATTCTGGGAATAACCATTACTCCCTCCGTATTCGAATACTTGTCGTTCTACACTTTTTTTTTTTTTTTGTTAATTAGTTGTCGTTTTGACATTCCAATACAACTTTTGCATAAGACTTCCTAAATTAACCTCAATTAATTGATCACAATTACTCAATCTAAATTACGAAGACTGAATTACATATATGAATCGTCAAAACAATTAATTGGTCAACACAGCAAAAATCCCAAAAAACAATTCAACACGTCAAGTTATAAATATTGTCATAAAGAAGCAAGTTTAAGCATACAGCTGCGCGTTTGTCAAAAAAAAAAAAAAAAAAAAAAAAAGGCATACAGCTGCGCAATTGTTGAGTCATGCTCATCCAAAACAAGAATACGACTTTATAAAAGGGTCGCTTTCACAATCTTAACACAATAAAGAAACAAAACAGGTGGATTTAAAATGCCTTTAACGACAGGAAAATAAACAAAAGTGTCGACTTGTTATCTGCCAATATAAACCAATCAAATCAGTCTCGACAATCACTGGAAACAAATAATACAACTGAAGAAACTCTAACACAGCAAAAGCGGTCTAGGAGGAAGAAAGTTAGACAATCAAATACATGACCCATACTACAAAATGTTCGAAATCGGTCGGATCGTACGGCGATTGAGGAACTGAACTGAATAAAGAGACAAACCTTAGAGACGAAGATGGCTACAGTGGAAAGGATGAATTGTCTCGGACCTGTTAACAGTAAGGACCTTCTTACTAAAACAGAGGTTTTGCCTCAGCCTCAAAACAGACAAGATGGGCCGACTAAAGTCCAACAACGTTCAAAGATTTCGGTCCATGAGAAGCCCATTCCCACTGTCTCTGCAACGGTCAAAAGCAGAGTACCACGAACTTGTCGTGTTCAAGGTACGGAAGGGCTATGTCATGAAATTCACCTGAGTAACAGATTTAACGCGTTGGGATCCGGAGCAATCAAGTGTAGCTAGGACATGCGTCATATTATATGTGATTACTCTTTTCTTTATATAGCAATAAGCATTGTATCTTATGGATTAAGTTGAATAAGAAAGCAAAACCTTTTATCATCTTCTTCAAGCTTTTCTCTAAATCTGGGGAAACCTTCATGGTATCAGAGCCATGGAAGGCTCTATCACTCCTTTTTCACCTTCCGCAGTAAACATCACTCATTGTGTGACTCTAAAGCTCACTGAGACAAACTATCTTCTATGGAAGACCCAATTCGAATCCTTTCTTTCAAGGCAGATGCTTTTGGGGTATGTAACCGGAGCTACTGCTCGACTTAACCCTACTACGTCTGTGAGACACGGCGACACGGTGACGGAGACACCAAATCCGGAGTTTCTCAAATGGGTAACGAATGACCAGAATGTTCTTACCTGGCTTTTTGGATCTCTATCAGAAGAAGCTCTCCGTGCTGTCTACGGTCTACACACATCTCAGGAGGTATGGTTTACCCTAGGCAAAAAGTTTAATCGTGTTTCAGCAACTAGAAAGTAAGATCTACAGAGGCGTTTGAATAACTTGTCTAAGCAAGGAAAGACTATGACCCAATATTTGTCTGATTCTAAAGTTATTTGTGATCAACCTGATTCTATTGGGTGTCCTCTTACGGATCAAGAAAAAATCTATGGGGTTTTACATGGATTGGGTCAAGAGTATGAATCCAGATCCACCTATCTGGAAAACTCAATGGATCTGTTTCCTGGACCAAGCTTTGAGGATGCAGGGTATAAGCTGATTAACTTTGATGATAAGCTTCAAGGCTACAATGCCACTGCTGCTGTTACTCCACACCTTGCGTTTGCTGCTGATGGGAACTCATACAATCAAGGAAGAGGTCAGAGTTATGGCCGTGGATCTCGTGGAAAGGGTCGTGGCTATTCTACTCGAGGCCGTGGGTTTCACCAGCAGATTAACCACTCCTCTGACTCTGGTTCAGAACGTCCAACGTGTCAAATTTGCGGCAAGAATGGGCACTCAGCGTTCAAGTGTTACAAGAGGTTTGATCATGCATATCAGATGGATGAATTTCATCAGGCTATGGCCACTATGAAGCTGTCAGATCAGTCCTCAGGCCATGAGTGGGTACCAGATTCAGTTGCTACAGCCCACATTACCAACTCAGCGGCTCAACTTCAGAATACTCAACAATACAGAGGTGATGATGGAGTTATAGTAGGTAATGGCGACTTCCTTCCGATCACACACATTGGTTCCATTGCTCTTCCTACTATGCAAGGTACTACTTTACCATTAAAGAATGTTCTTGTGTGTCCGGATATAACCAAGTCATTGTTGTCAGTCTCAAAACTCACATCTGATTACCCCTGTTCCTTTACATTTGATTCTGATGGTGTTATTATGAAGGACAAACGGACCAAACAGCTCCTCACACGAGGAAATCGAACTAAGGACCTCTATGTGTTGGAAAATCCTTAATTTATTGCTTTCTACTCATCAAGACAACAAGCTACAACCGATGGGATTTGGCATCAAAGGCTGGGCCATCCTCACAATGAGATTCTTCATCAGTTATCTACAAATAAAGCCATAGTAATGAATAAATCAAGCTCCAGTCTGTGTGATGCTTGCCAATTGGGGAAAACTTGTAAACTTCCTTTTTCTGCATCAGATTTTGTCTCTAGTAGACCTCTTGAACGCATCCACTATGATTTATGGGGACCATCTCCTATTGTGTCATCACAGGGATTTCGTTATTATGTCATTTTCATTGACAATTATTCAAGATTTACTTGGTTTTATCCTCTTAAGCTAAAGTCTGACTTCTATTCTACCTTCATACTGTTTCAACAATTGGTGGAAAATCTCTTCATGACAAAGATTGGAAACTTTCAGTGTGATGGTGGTGGTGAATTTACAAGCACCAAGTTTGTGTCTCATTTGACAAGTTGTGGGATCAAACAGCTCATTTCTTGTCCATACACCCCACAGCAAAACGGTTTAGCCGAGAGTAAGCATAGACACATCACTGAACTTGGTCTTGCTATGATGTTTCAGAGTAGAGTTCCTCAATACTTGTGGGTGGAAGCTTTTTTCACTGCCTCTTTCTTGGGAAATCTCTTACCTTCTTCAGTCCTACCAGGCAATAAAAGTCCTTATGAACTGCTTATAGGTAAGCCACCAGTTTATACCTCCTTAAGAGTCTTTGGTTCAGCTTGTTATCCCTGCTTAAGACCTTATACAGAAAACAAGTTTGATCCAAGATCTCTCCTATGTGTCTTTTTAGGATACAATGAGAAATATAAAGGCTACAAATGCCTTTATCCTCCTACTCGTAAAGTTTACATATGCAGACATGTATTGTTTAATGAACTCCACTTCCCTTTTCAGAAAGAGTATGCTTCATTAATACCTGCGGCTACCTCTCCTCTTCTATCTGCGTGGCAACAGAGTTTGCCTCAGCCTCCTCAATCCAGAGAAAACCCTACTCCACTTCAACAACATGATTCTAACTCTAATGCTCTGACACCTATAGTGGTACAGGGATGTCCTGAGCGTACGACAGCCTTAGATGCTGCTTCTATTGGCGACAGCGTCTCTGTACCTCTCTGTAGTCAGTCTCTGCAGCTCGTACATACCACTCTGATCAATAGTTGTCCAAGTTCACCTGCAACACCTGCAACTTCCTCTTCTACAACAACACCTGCAACATCACCTTCTACTTCAATATTTTCTAAAGATGACTTCCCTCCACTTGTAAGTCCAACAAATAATCAAGCTCCAGACAATGATCATTCCATGATCACGAGAGCCAAAGATGGAATAAGGAAGCCAAATCCTCGTTATGCTCTGCATACAGTCAAGAGTAACTACCCGGAGCCTAAGACAGTAAAAACAGCTCTTAAAGACCCGGGATGGAACGGTGCTATGACTGAAGAAGTAGATACTATGCATGAGACCAAAACTTGAGATTTGGTTCCACCAGAAGAAGATATTCAACCACTTGGCTGCAAATGGGTTTTCAAAACTAAACTGTGTGCTGATGGTTCTCTAGATAAACTAAAAGCTCGATTGGTAGCTAAGGGATATGAGCAAGAAGAAGGGGTTGATTTTGTTGAAACATATAGCCCTGTGGTTCGAACTGCTACAATCAGAATGATACTCCACAATGCTATAATCAATAAGTGGAACATCAAACAGTTAGATGTTAAGAATGCTTTTTTACATGGAGACTTGAAAGAGACTGTGTATATGGTTAACCACCAGGCTTTGAAGACACGAGTAAGCCAGACTACATATGCAAGCTTAAGAAAGCTATTTATGGTTTAAAACAGGCACCCCGGGCCTGGTTTGACAAGTTTAGCTCGTTTCTTCTTGAGTTTGGATTCACCTGCAGTTATCCTGATCCATCTCTCTTTGTTTACATCAAAGGACCGGATGTCATGTACCTGTTACTCTATGTGGATGACATGTTGTTAACAGGAAACAACACAAAGCTCATGGAACAGCTACTGGTGAGTCTGAGTAGCATCTTCCGGATGAAAGACATGGGTCCTCTTCACTATTTTTTGGGTATTCAAGCAAATTTTCATGAGAATGGTTTGTTTCTTAATCAAGAAAAGTATGTCACAGATC